TACAATTTTGCAACATCCACGTGTTACCGAGATGGAATGCGATTAATCATACTCTCATTATTTCAAATAAAATGATTGTTCAATTCAGCGTTATTTCCCTTCACGGTCATAATCGATCAAATCGAATGGTCAAGTTCAGTGAATGATCAGTGGGGCCTTTGGAAGCCGTTAACCGCCACAACCTTGGCAGTGATAATTCACCAGTTTCCTGAATATACTTTCAGTATTACATTCGAGCATCAGAGGAAACTGCATCTCAAAAGCGCGAATCAAAAAATTGTTTTCCAATTTTTTAAATTCATTTTTATTTTAGAAATAATCAAACATTGTCAAATTGTAAAAAAGAAATATAAAGATAATTTTAATCCCTTCACTGTGCGTGCCTCTTCCAAAAACTGCATTCGAATGGAAATAAATTGTATTGATAAAATTTATAACATAAGTATTTAATACAATTTTTAAATATACCATATTTTATGAATGTGTTACTATTTCACAAGCAATAGTTGAAATCACAAATTTTCGACAATCTCCTTGACCTCTGTTTCGCGGATCTCGAATGAAAGCCCTCGCTTATCACTTGTCCTTTCTGATAACGATAAATGCGTTTGAAAGAAGCTTCAATGAATCTTTGCCAGCCAGATGGTAGCCGAATTGTAATCTCTCGAGGAGAATTGAGAAATCCGAGCAACGGTCACACTTTCGCCATGGCCCGACACGAAACGAATCGATTTTCAACAGCGTGAAAGATTCAAGTTCGATGGAAGTGTTTTCGAAATAGACAAACGATATTTAAAAAGCATGAAATAGCGTTTCTTTCACTGGAAGTTTGTTTCTTTGTCAATGTTACAGGTAGTCACCTTTTTACGTAATGCAAGAATCAAATTATAAACCATGCATCACCAATGACCTATGCATTATTCAATCGGTTAAATACACGATTAACTTGAATAGAAAAACATATTTGTAGAAATGGTTCGATAATCTGAATAAAAACGTAAGTGGTATGACTTTTATCAGTGATTATAACCAATTGCGTAACGCAGCATTTTTAGTCATTGAAAGTTCCAGAAAGTCATTGACATCATATAATAGAATAACAGTGGCATGCATTTTTCTCGTTAAAGAAGGATTACAACAGAACGAGTTAAAAAGTTAGAGCTTTAGACAGCTAATTGAATGCAAAAGTGATAAAAAAAAAGAGTTTATACCATTTTATGTAAATGTTGTTTAAAAAACGAAAAAGCACTCAGAAATATTCACTTGTAATGCTAAGTAATGTTTATGATTCATTGAGACAGTTAGCCACGGTCGAGAACAATTCGCATTTACATTTTCTAATGAATGACGAAAAAACAAATGTATGCAAGAGGTTGGCAATGACGTTGGTAATTAAATGATCCTACGGATCACGTCAAACGTGAATTATACACCGCGTATCTTACAATGAAAAAATTTTTGTCGTCTTTCGCACGAGAGGTCAATTGAAATTTTACCGAGGCGATGGCAAAAGGTTATCGATGATAATAAATCAAAATCACTTGGCTGACTTATAATTTCACGCGAGAGTATAAGCAGAGAACATGTTCTTGCTCTAAGTGGTGCGCGCTGCTGATAACGCGATTCGCGATTATTTGTACATATGTTTCAGTCCGACTAATCACTTAAATATTGAGTTGTCTATATTGCATCACTAAACCCATTCAAAATTTAGTTAATTTTCAAACGACGAAAATCAAAGTAATTATGACTTACATCTACAAAAGCAAGCTTAAAATTTGCATACATTAAAAAGAAATAATTAAGAAAATTTTGTGTGGTATCAAAATTAGAAATTATTCTCGACCATATGTTCACTCGAATCTCTTTTCATACTCGAAAGGGTAAAACCAGTATCCATACAGCTTTCGCTGTTCGCCCCGATAGACCAGCCAAGTTTCACCCGTTTCTTTCTCGAAAAGCATCCCCACCCCGGGTGAGCACCCTAGTGTCAAGGTGATGGGTGCCGGAGCGTTCGGTCATTCTCCAGGGTTCAACAGACCCGGTGGAAATTTCGAGCAGCGTCGATTCGAGTAACAAAGTCGTCGACGTCCTGTGTAACCGGTGGCGTCCCGACGCCAGTGCCGCGAGCCTGCGCCTGGACGATACCCTCTTCGGGATCTGCCAGTCGATAGACGACCTCGTTCGGGTTTCCACGGATCCTTCGCGCATTTCCATATCCCTGATCTTTCATTAATGTTAATACATCGATAAACGAGGAATTACAGGTGTCATCGTGCCGATTTCCGGTGGCTCTTTGTACAAATGAAAGGGGAACTGTGATAAAGTGTTCATTTAATTTTGTTCGATTATGGAAGAGGGTGGTTTCGCGTAGATCACAAGCAGAGACGTTTCGTCTTGGTTCTCAAACACATATACTGAAACATACATACATACACACGCACACATACACACACACACACACACACACACACATATATATATATAATATATATATATATATTTGATAGAAGAAATTACACCTGGCTCTTGTCGAACAAGAGAATGGGAGTCACGGCAGGTGTCAGTGTTCGAGAAGTCGTTCGTTTGATCACTGCCTTTGCGGCTTGTATCGATTTCGTGGGGATGTCCTGTGGTGACGAGACAGAAGGGTGGTCACTAGATTTCGCGCTGGAATACGTTTTGCGACTTTCGCATCAGCAGGACGAACGATGAGCTAGGGAATGTAGGTGAGACGTACACCGGCATACCGATGGACAGGTACGATCCTCTTTTTAGGTGTATACGAAAATCAATGTTCTCCTGTTACGAATCTCTATCGATGCGAATTAATTGTCGATTGTTTGCTAGAATTGTTTTATAAGCGGTGTTTCACTCGCTTACACTCTCCAGACAATCTAATACCCAACGTTTTATTCAAAGGAAGAATATCCTCCTTCAATCGTGCACTCTATTCGATCTTCTTTCTTTCATTTCCCTCTGTCTTCGACGCGTTTGTAATCGTGTCAGTGTTCACTCGAGCAGAGAAACAGCTGAAATTGATTTCCTTCGTGTCTATTGATTTGTACCAAGTCTTTGATTTATATATTGTCTCGTTGCACGAAATTTTTTACGAATTCATTAGATTGTTCTATTGACTTTACCCTCGTTTCATAAGTTTTAGAAGAATAGTTTCTGTTTGTTGATGTGTTAGTTGGGTAATCACAGTTAGAAAATACGTGTTATCTTGTTTGAAAGATTTAGAAACTACGAAGATTATGATTATTTTCCGTAATTCCTTGATCCACAATTTGCGCGTTATTTTTTCAACGACCCTCGTTTTATTTCGCTGCAAAAAGAAGAAAAACTGGACGTATCTAATTAACGAGTTAGACGGTCAACAATGCGTGATTTATTTTCGGTTAAAGTTGGTGGTCGCGTGTGTCTGAATCGTTATCTTCTCACTCGGAATATTTCAATTGTAGATACGCGGATCAAGGCGACACAGCGTCCTTGTTGCCGAATGCAAAATTTATTTAAAAGGAATAGCGTAGATTATCTTGATGAATTTTTATCGTTACTTCGAGCTTACGGAAAATCCCCACCTTTGGATCCTTATACATAATCATATTGTCAAACGAAAGTCACTCGGAAACGGTATAAAAATAGCTGGTTAACTACCCTTTAGTACCATTCTGACTGTTTTTTCTTTTATAAAACGATCTTTCGAACAGCTCTTCTATTGAGAAATTGTAACAATATTTATTTCGTGGTAAATTTTAAAGGTAGGGAATTAATTTTATATTTATTCGTTAGTGTTACATAGTGGAATAAATATTTCAGTATAGTATGGTTCAGAAAAAAATATGTTCTTGGGTTCTGAAAAAAATGTTGCTCGTCTGAAAGCTTTTTCATCGCGCAATATCCACCCTCACGAAGTATCACCCTTCCACGCGTACGAACGTACACCCTTTCGACCATTTCACCACAATGCCACCCACGCGCATTTTTTCTCTAAAAATCATTTGTAAATATCACGTTCGTCTGGGTAAATCTAAGAAACTTGGCCTTTGTAACATGAAATTCGTAGTACAACCTTGGTGCAGTGATAACCTTTGATGTCGATCAAATATTCCATTGAAAATAATAGGTTTTGAAAGAAATTTTAATTTGAAAGTGAACGATCAAAAATACTGACGTAACGGAATTTCTCAAGGTTTTCACGACACTCAATGTCGTTCGAGGAATTTATCAAGAGAAATTGTAAAAACATAAACATGACAGCGTATGTTTTATTCAAATAAGAAAGATAGTTTTAATTCTAGTGTTCATTTTATTTAATTCCCGTTGTTCTATGTTTTTAAATAGTCAGGACAATAGTTCCTTTGTAAAATTGATATTCTCTCACTATCTGCCGTTTAATTGATTTAGCCTTGTAATGACTGTCTTAATCATAATTTACAAGAAATATATTACAATAATTGCTTGTTGTTTGGTAATTTTAATTATCAATCAATAGCTTGTTGTTCGATTAAATTAGACCTTGAAATAGAAAGTGACGATGTCGGGTCGCGTTAAAACTTCTAGAAAATAACTATTACAGCAAGGTTATTAGTATATAAAAGGGGACGTAAATCAACAATCGTGAGATCCAGTGATGAATAGAAATTCATCATCTTCCTTTACGTGTTATTTCTTGCTAAACGCCTGTGTCCTCGTATTTGATCATTTACATAAATATATAGACAGTTAAAAATTCGGCGTGCTCGGATTATCATATATTATGCAACGCGTATTAAATAATTAATCAGGCAATAAATAGTCGTGAATATTTTTGCTCCTTTCAATTTTCAAGTTTATCCACACGTGTCTGTTTACTATCAATTCTTTTTTATAAATACTGGTAGTAAAATGTAATCGCCTATCAACTGTACGTGAATGTTATAATAAATCGTTTAAATTTCCATTACTGAAAATAATTTTCATAATTTTTAACGAAACATTTATATGATTTGTTGCAGGAATAAAACAGAAATGGCACCAAACATCACCAGCACCCCAACGGGTGTCCTGTTCGAGGGTGAGACCTTGGAAGATGCTCCAGGGGTGGTAGAACCAACTAAACAAAAATACGTGAGACGTATAGTCTGGAGGAATGTAATAATCTTCGGTTACCTTCACCTGGGTGCAGTTTATGGATTGTACCTGATGTTAACATCCGCCAAATTGTCAACCACCCTGTTCGGTGAGTGAAACGCAATTTTTCTTTTTATACCAATAATTAACCACTTGGACGCTTGATATACATTTTTTTATTACTAAAATTTCCATTCATCGTTAAACATCTAGTAGGATCGTTTATAGTCGCTTATCACTAATTTCTGTGCTCAAATATAGTACGTGAGTGTTTTGATAAGAATTGACATGAAATTCATCATTTTCAATCCATTCTTAAAGCTTAAATGATAATTCGACCCTAGTTAGATAAAAAGAGATCCGTCAGAGAAAATAAATCCAATCTGAATTACATATTCTATTTATCCATGATAAGATGTATTGTAAATTGCTCTAATCAGAATTGTATAGATTTAACTTGTACTTTTGATGGTTCGATCGCGACGTTCAATTAATGACCTCTTTATTCGCAGTTTCATTTCAATTGAGCACAGAGTGACTGGGTAATTGAAAATATGAATATAAATAACGAACTCGAATGAGTGTGTGTGTGCCGAGAACAGAATCAAATGCGAAAAAGGGAAAAGAAATGATTGCTCCAAATAAATGGAGGGTGACAACAAAAAGCGTCCAATTGGTCCACCTGTTGGTGCACACAGATTTCCATCTTCTCATTTCCTCGTTTCTGGGAATATTCATAAGAATGATCAACAAATAATAAATAACTATTGTTCTGTTTTTATTTTACAGCAATCACTCTCCACATTCTAGGTGCCTTGGGAATCACAGCTGGTGCACACAGACTATGGGCCCACAAATCGTACAAGGCAAAATGGCCACTCCAGCTACTACTAATGATTTTCAACACCATTGCTTTCCAAGTGAGTTGCGATTAATCATAGTTGTATCACTCTAATTTAGGAAAAATTTGAATTAATTAAAGAAGAGTATTATCTGTATTCTTCGTACCTGAATTTACAAAGTCAAAGAATCAAATTAGATGAGATTTAAAAAATTTCCTTTCATTGCCTTTGCGCAGGACGCAGCGATCGATTGGGCTAGAGATCATAGGCTCCATCATAAATACAGCGAGACGAACGCAGATCCCCATAACGCAAAGAGAGGGTTCTTTTTCGCCCATGTGGGCTGGCTACTCTGCAGAAAGCACCCGGACATCAGTGAGAAGGGCAAAGGAATCGATCTCAGTGATCTGAGGAACAATCGTATACTTGCTTTCCAGAAAAAGTAAGCTCGCCTTCATTAATCCCTTCTTCTGTAAACATCGTTATAAGAATTTTTGGAATTTTCGTAACTCGTATATTTCGTTTTCTTACAGGTACTACAAGGTTCTGATGCCCATCTGCTGTTTCATCCTACCAACTGTAATACCAGTTGTAGCCTGGGACGAGACCTGGTTAAACGCCTACTTTGTACCCACGATTCTGCGTTATGTATTCTCTCTGAACATGACGTGGTTGGTCAACTCCGCGGCCCATCTCTATGGAAACAAACCATATGACAAGTTAGTATGAAAAATGATAAAGATAGAAAGTTTAAATTGGAAAATGAAATGATTGTGTCTTGAATAATTATAATTATAGTGTCAAATTGTATATTGGATCAGCAGAGCCCAGCTCAACAACTCATTATTATGAAATTAATTAACATTTCCCTTGTTCCAGGTACATCAACCCCGTGGAGAACATGGGCGTAGCCATAGGTGCTCTCGGTGAAGGATGGCACAATTATCACCACGTGTTCCCCTGGGACTACAAGACGGCCGAGTTGGGCAACTACAGATACAACGTGACAACAGCTTTCATCGACCTGTGCGCGAAACTTGGTCTCGCATACGACCTGAAAATAGTTCCTTACGACGTGGTTAAGAAACGAGTGGAGAGAACCGGCGACGGTAGCCACGAAGTGTGGGGTTGGGGTGACAAAGATCAATTGCAAGAAGACAAGGAGCAGACGATGGTGACGCATTGTCTGAAAAAGGATCAATAGATGAGAACGATTCAAACGAATCGTGGTCGATCGTTCGTTCCATCGATTTTAAAAACAACGATCGACTCTTTTTTGTACAGTTCTTATGAAAGGAGCGGGATGAGAGAGTTATCTGAGAATCAATTGGAAATTATTTGGGACATCACTTAATTATTTAATCACGCGATTGTACGAAGTGTTGTAGAGTTACGTTCGATTCTTTTCCCCCTAAAAATCGATTCGAACGGCGTGCCTTGAACCGAAGTACAAAAAATACAGTATTTATTCTTTTTTGTTTAGTTCCGTCTAAAAAAAGAAGAAACAAAAATTAACCGTGTGAATCTCAGATTTCGTTTGTTTTTATTTACTTTTTATTTGGTGTTTTATTTTTCTATAAAAACTAGCTTATTTTTCTTTTTTCTTGGGTTAATAGTACATGATGATTGATCCACGATCTTTGTACACGCCGGTGGAATCGATTTCTACGCGGGGAATATTATATCAGGGGATAACATTAAAACTCATTTGGCAGGTTCTAAATGTATTTATCAATGATCCCGGCGTAAAGCGAGAGTGAAACAGTCCCCGGTCTCAGTCATCGTTTCACGTTTCCTTGACGACGTTCTAGATTTCCAACGATAGGCTCGCGTTCGACGATCGCGTTTCAGATCGAACCGAATCATCGATTTTCTAGTCGATGATTGTTCGATCTAATTAGACTGTTCTGTTTTACATTTAAGGTTTAGTTCGTGTTCTCTTGACTAGCACGTGGAACTCTGTTTAGATGTAGATTCTATTTAACGTATCTGTAGATGCTACATTGATCTGTAGGAAGGGGGGAGGGTTACTGCGCAGGGTGGTAAACCGGGTCTTAATTCGAAGGTAACATATTACCCGTGAACGCGAGTCGAACGTTACTTAGCGGCGATGGATCGAACGAGACAGAGAACAAATTTTTTTTTTCATGTTCGTTAAAGGAAAAACTAACGAAGATTTAGGCATGTGATATAATATGTATATTAAGCTTTAATACAATGAGAATTCGTTCGATCCCCGAACTTTGTCACGCGTCGATAGGAAATCGTTGAAGATCGATCCGTTTTATTTCATTCGTGAAAGTATATCGGTTTCTTCACCTATTTCCTGTATCTTGTGTTTCTTCTTTCTCGTACAAGGATACCCTTTACGATCCGGAAAATAACTATTCTCCAGATTAAAAAGTAAACAAAACAAAAGAAAGTTAACATTCCATTTCTATCTTCCTTCCCCCTTCGGATCCGAACATTTAGTCACGGGATAACAATGTAAATGTTATTTTATATTCTATTTTGTTCCTACAGTGTCGTCAGAAAACACTTATTTTGTTGAATGTCCTTTTTTCCTCTCTTCTCGTTCATTCTAAATCCGTTCATCGATTTCTTCTATTCATGATCGCATCGAATTTAATCTTGGAAAGTTATATAAAGTACAAAAGAGATACACTTTCTTTTTTTTTCTTCTTCTATGATCGATCGTAGGAATCGAACTTCAGCAGATGAATCTGAACGACGATTGGTATATCAGAAATTACAGTTTAATAATTAAACGTTAGCTTTTACGAGTAGCGGTGTGAAATTATGAAAATTGTTAGTTCATTTCAAGGAAATGGTGTTGAAAAGCTTTCGTAGAAGCTTGGACAATGTGTCTAAACGTAATTTCAAGCTTTTCAAGGTTAAAGGTGAAAACAATATCATCCTTTAACTTATTCTCCCGTTCCGTTAGACAAGCACACGAAGAACAGGGGATTTGTGTGGTACAGCAGTTTGTACGAGACGAGAGCGAGCAATTGTAAAAAAGAAAAAAAAAAATATGAAAAAGACATAAAATAGAATCGAAAAGGACCTTTTAGTTAGTTTAAGGAAATACACCCTGCGCCAAGGTGATTTATACGTGTATATTTATGCACGATTCCTTGCAAGATAATTCATTGGAAAAATATTGTAAAAAAATAGAGAGAAACATTGTACGCTTACTGTATATTCAATGGAAATGTTTACGATTGTTACACGATCTCCTGATTGAATTTCCTACACGATGTTTCACAGTTTTCAGCAACATTCCAACCGTAACTTCCTCCAGTTTCATTTCGCTTCGAAAATTTTCCATGACATTAGCTAAGAACTTCTCTAATTAAAAAATTTATTAACAAGTCTCTACTGTTCATCAGTGAAATTCGATGGAAGATAATGAATTATCAATGGATCTCTGCATTTTTCTTCAAACATTTCATCTGTGAATTGAACAACATAATCGTTGAAGTAAATTTCTTTAGAATGAACTCGTTTCGTCTCCGAACACCTTGTAAAAACGACCAACAACCCTGAACGATTCTCCATCCTGAGAAATAATTTCTTTTCCTGTTCGTTGCTCGCTAAACGCGTCGAACGTACGATCGTTGCGCGACCTCGTCGCGGGAACGAGGGTGAAATGACGGAAACGCGGGGCGTTTCCGGAAATTTTAAGGGCGATCGACGAGCTCGTTGGTTCCGCACGTCCGTGTCTATTTTTTTTTGTCTTGATCAATGTATAGATACACGTAAGAGAATAATTATATGTGTAATATGTATACAAAGAAGAAACACACACACACACAACGTGTACAAGCATGTATACACGTTTTTCTATGAGGCGTAGTCTTCGTCGTCTCGTGGTACACGAAGAGAACTGTTGCGATATTAGCTCTAAGGTTTAATCTTAACATTCGAAAGAAAAAAGTGTGCTGTTACCAGGTTTTCAAAGACAAATATATGCTGTTTTGTTACCAAAAATTCGGGATTCGTTGATTTTCATTCCCTCTTGGTGCGTCGCGTCGGTTAGAAGAGTCGAAAAAGAGATCAATAAAGGTGCATCGCGTAGAATCGTGCGATTTTGCTTTTCATCAACAATAGATGTGAAATTATTATTTGTACAATTCACTATATTTCCACCTGAACGCGTCTTTAATTGTTACATTTGTCATTTATCGATAATTAAAATGACTCGTCGATATCAATTAACAAACAAAGATTGGTAGAATGGGTCTGGAAAGTTTGCTCTTCCGGTTCAATTTCGAATCAATAGTTTTTCTTTCTGTATATTGTACACGGAGATCTCCTTGAGTTGCGTCAGACCTTCGTTCAGTGGCAACTTCTTTCTCGCCACTCTGTGGAGAACCTACAAAAAACGATGTCGAAATAAATAGTTTTATTAAATAAGATTGTGAAAGTTTTTCGAATGTGTTGATAGGAATCTTCTGTCATTCATAGGAAAACAATTCTTTTTCTAAAAATTTTTGGAATTGTAATGAATGGAACACGAAAATATTTTATCTTTGACATTCTACGAACCTCTCTGATGCTGTCGGTGTCCACTGTTTGTAAATCATTAATCAAACCGAGCTCGTACCACATCTTGATGAAGAAAGTGCTGCAACCGGAATCGTAAGTGCCAAACTCGCCGCTCTTCCAGTCCCATGGCACTGCGTAATGGTACATTGGCCAACATGACTTTTTCACAAAAAACACACTGATGCCATCCGGTGGGACCCTGAAATCGTACATAAATTAACTAGTTGTTTTATTTATTCAATATATTAGGATTCCATGTTGCTAATTATACTCTGTGGTTTTGCAAGTTTTTAAGAAGAAATTTAATATCAACAAACTTTAGGGTTATTTTATATTATAATTTTTCTACAGCTTTTTGATAATTATTTTAATTTGAACGAATGAATATATGTATTACAATTGCTTAATAATTTATGTACGATTATGAAAATAATTGTTATTCATTGTACATCAGATACCCTTTGAAGGCAATAAGTTTTGGTGACTGAAAACATTATTAAATGAAGTATTGTATTCAAATGTAGTGTCAAGTTTAAAGATACTTCGTCCATAAAGGATTAGTATATAAATAATATAAAATTAATAGCTCACACAGAAGGTGCAATACAAACAAATACAATACGTGTAATTAGAGTTCAATAATATACAGGGTGTTCGACAACAGGTTGGCAATATTTTAAGGGGTGATTCTAGAGATCAAAATAAGACGAAAATCAAGAATAACGAAATAGCGTTTACGGCTTTGTTTTCCAGTTATTAACGTTTAAAAATTCGAGTAAAAAGCGCCAGAAACCTGCAATCCGCTCAGCACCAACAACCGAACGTCACGTCGGCAGGGGTCGGTACAGTCATAACCAAGAATCAAAACCGAATACTGCAGTACCGAGAAACAGAATAGCACGAGGTAAGTTTTTACTATTCAACGATTCTTGGTTATGATTGTACCGACCCCTGTTGACGTGACGTTCGGTCGTCGGCGCTGAACGGATTGCAGGTTTCTGGCGCTTTTTACTCGAATTTTTAAAGGTTAATAACTGGAAAACAAAGCCGTAAACGCTATTTCGTTATTCTTGATTTTCGTCTTATTTTGATCTCTAGAATCACCCCTTAAAATATTGCTCACTTGTTGTCGAACAACCTGTATAAATTATTTTAAAAAAATGATCGATCGCGTTACGAAGGTCAATCAAATCTATTCTACGTGTATCATCGTCATAAAAAATGAATGATTGTAAATTGTCAAGGATTTTTTTTTTATTTCGTGTGAATACCATCGCCACCGATGACGACGGTGCCGTGACTCTTTGGCATCTTAAAGAAAAGCGTGTACAATAAACGCAGAGTGTCAAAAATGGACATTAACTTGTTTCCTTCGATATTCCAGATCAGCAACGCGCTGTTCACCATCCAGGAAACGTTCACCGTAATGGCGAACCGTAACAATCCGGTGACGAGTATGGTGATCGCCATTGATTCGTCCCAATATTCCAACGGCACGTTCAGTGGCAGTATTAATCCAAAAATGATAAACATTGGCCAGTAAAACCTAGATATATGAACGAGAATAGAAAATAGTTATAAATTAAGTTTTCATAGAGAAATTTAATTGCTAAAAAAATGAAAATATTGTAAATTATATCATCGGAACGAAACCGTCTGGTAATTTATAACAATATAACTGGTCGTTAAACGAACGGAAATGATGTTTAATAATCATTATTGCGAGCAACTTAGATATTTATAAATCAATTCTTACATCTTTTGTATCCACACATATCCATCTTGTTCGACATCGCGCATATCGATGTCGATTTTTGCTTGCTCGTAGTCGGTTTTCCGTGACAGGAAGTTGCCTACGTAGTGGCTGAATAAAAATCCCTTTTTGTGGTTGTAAGGATCCTTGTCAGTTCCGTAATACTTGTGATGCAGTCTGTGATACAATACCCAATCGTATATGGGACCCTGTGAACAAATATTAATTTCAATTGAAAAAATAATTCTATGAACTATATTTTATTCGTGCTCCACAATCATAATTTTTCGATTGCCTTTGAATAGAATGGTACTTCTTCCTGTATCTATTATTCAATGAAACACGGATTAGTTAATTGTTAAGTTCCCTTTGAAAATAATAAGGTCGTTTCCATTGTTACAGTGACCTCGAGATACCCACCACTCCCGCAAGGGTGTGCGCCAACATGAGGAAGAGCCGGAGAGCCCCCGATGCCGTGAATGCCTTATGGGCCCACAGTCTGTGAGCACCCACTGTCACCCCCAAACTGCCGATGGCTGTTATAAGGATCGCTGGAAGATTGATAATTTAATTTTAATATAGGGAAAGATGGATAATTGTATGAATGAAAATTAAAAAATTCCTCCTTATCCTAAATGAAAAGAAGAAAGTTTGCTTACTAAAGAACACAGTCATCCATTTGGCGGAAGTGAACAACAACCAGACCCCGTAGATTCCGAGAACGTGGAGGTGGATGTACCACAAAACGGCAGCCCACTTTATGTCATGTTTCTTTACTGGTTTCTTCTCGTTCGACATTCTATTATCACAAATAAAAACTTCACCTGATACTCCTGAATGATTATGCTCAGTATTACTGAAAGAGCATTTTAACAGATTCATTATAATAAACGAGAATAATAAAAAAGCTATTACAAATTTATAATTTGAATAAAAACTGTGACTGTAGGCATTGGAAATTTTTAATACGTTATTTAAAAAGAACTTGAAGTACGTATGTTCAAAGTGATCCTTCTACGAAAGGGTCATCGACTTTATGATGAAGAAACAATGAGAATATTGATAAATTAATTCAAATTTCTTGAAATTGAATAAAAGAAAGAATTTTAGAGATTGAAAAATTGATACACAGTTTGAGAAGAACTTTTTTTTAATAATTTACCTAGCTGTTATCCTGGCATGAAACGCGCTTCTAGAGGACCCGAGAAGAACTACTTAAACAAATGCTTGCCGCGGGCCTCGTTGATTGACCTCGTGGCCTTTGCTTGAATTTCATTATCGTTCAACATTTCACATTGTCATTTCCTTTGTTTTGGTATCCCACGGCTTGGATACATGTTCACCGTCGATTCATGAAAACCAGTCGAGTCGGTTGCATGGGTTTTGACTCTGGGGCTTCCTTTTCTTAAGTATCTGCTTACATTTTGTAATTTATTACCTTTTTCTATCAATGTTTGTTAATCCATTCCAACACATCAAATTCTCGTTTATTTTTCATTAACGGGTTGTTTACCTGTGATCATTGACATAATTAGAAATTTTGTTTAAGAAAGCTTCATGTTCCCTAGTTTTATCAAATGTGAAATGTCAGTGTTGCTTTGTTGGAATTTCAATCAAAAAATAGTTTATGAGCTATCTATTTACTTATTTCAATAATTTCTATCGTAGAGAGGGTTAATGCGCATTTTAGAGGAGGCTAGGTCCATCCTGATCCCCATATAGCTATATACTAATTAATGGTGGTGAACATATATTTCTATTTTATATTCTAATTTAGTTTATACTTTATTTATAGTTAGAGGTCATGAACTATTTCGTGCTTGTATTGGTAATAATGAATTTTAAATAACGGGGATTAGAATGTAAACTCTGAACTGTAGAACAATAGTATTCTACGGACGCGGTTTGAGCTAATCCAGTCTACCGGTTTAATAATAGTACGAGAAGATATGGAAATTAATGCTAAAAAACTTTTTTTTTATGTTTAAATTATAGCCGATTCATGGATTGCAAATTCTCTGGCCATCTGTGAACAAATGGGCGAACTAATCGGGCCGTTTCTTTAATTGTGAGTATAAGAACCTTTAAAATGATCAATTAATTTGAATTAAACAATAGGAAAGAATGAATGTTCAGGAAAGTTATTTGAATTTTGTTTATAAACTTAATTTATGAGCGAAAACGACTAGTAAAGGCGGCGTCGACAATTTCTTCTTTATGGACATTTTCTTCCTTATCGACCTCGACGCTGGTCGCCACATGTTTCAGAAAATCGATCGATAAGTTGTTGAGTAATTTCAGCAGGTTTTGAAGAGATGGCACTGGAGTCCAATTTCAAAATAGTTCATTTATGGCGGTCTTTTTAAAACACAAGTTTGTCAAACAATGATTTTACTAACTATAAATTGATATTTGTGGGGTGATTCAGATAGTGAACAATTCCGAACAATGAAAATTCATAATAAACATAACAAACTATTTCTATTATGTATAATCAAAGTTTTAATGATTATTTGTACAAATTAAATCAATTATATTTTTACGTAAATGCAATTTATTTAAAAAGTACAATATAAACTTACTTCTTTACATAGTCTCAAAGGAGATATACAGAAAACACCGTTACCTAACTTTGCAATAGCACATTAAACTATAAATTCTGTATTTATTACATAATAATAATAATAATATTCATATTATTCTTAATTGGAAAATAAGAAATCATTTTAAAAACAAAATCATTTGCATCAACTCGTAGGACATAATCTACCATAATAAATATAGTAAGTTTATAAGTATTTTAAGCATTAATTGCTATTTATTTCATACAACTAAAATATATTTTGAACTGAAACAAAAAAATATATAATTTCCCCTTTGTGACCCATGCAATAGAGTGACATAATGATAACAATATTTGGAAAAATAAACAAAAAAAAAAACGAGATTTGTAATCAACATGATTAATTTATAGAACAAAAATCTTAATATGAAGTTTTAAACTGAGAAGTGGAAAAAGGGCGTTGTGATTGAAAATTAGAATTTTGGAACTGCCAAGATCCTACATTGTTCCCACTTTTCCAAGTACTACTTGATTGTGGTTTCATGTCCATATCGTTTTGAGAAAGCCAACGTGATTCTCCAACGTTTTGAACGCTATTATTTTGCCACTGAGATTTGTTACTGAAAGATGATCCTTTGTTTTGCCAATTATCTTTGTTTTTTGACCACATATCTCCCTGTTGTTCGTTATCTCTTGTCCACGTTGACGATGTAGTGGCAGTTTCAAATTTCTGCCATCTTTCTTTAAAATCTAAAGTGCCATCATCGCCCCAAGGATCTTTTGCATCCTCTGGTAAATCATCCTCTTTATCGCAGTGTTTCCAGGATTCCTTAACATTTAATGACTCCCATCGAACTTTATTTTTATTATCTATCCAAGGTTCTTTATACGTAGTAAAAGTTTCTTTCCCGCGAATATTCCAATTCTCGTTACTACTTCCCGGCATATTCGACGCGTTTGACCATCTATTATCTAAACCGGATGACCATGTTTCTTTCATCATAGCTTTTGAGGATGACTGTTGAGAACTCCAATTATTTTCATTACTACACCATGTATCATTACGAATAGGATCTTTAGCATTCCACTTTTCTTGATTGAAAGATTTCCGCTGCCTCTCATTGCATGCAGCTTGTTCCCAACTGTTAATAGATGTTATACTTTTTTCATTTCGCCAGACATTTTGTTGGGGTACCCTTTCAACGGGTCGGGACCAAGTAGCTTGTTCAATTGCTCCTCTACTTGGTATATCCCAGTCATCTGTATATTTTTGTGGAGATGATTGACCTCTTTGAGGGGACTGCGGTCTTTTTGATAGCGACGGAGGACATTCCATTAAAAATCTCTGCGGTGATCCTCCACGCCTAGAAAGTAACAATTCTTGTCTACCAGAAGATATCATTCGATCGGGAGAAGGAATTTGTCTTCTAGGAGGTGATATTGGTCGTCCCATTGGCGATGGTTGTCTTCTAGAAGGGGACATAGTTGATCTAATAGTAGACATTTGCTGTCGCGATGGCGATATCTGACGTCTTAATGGCGACATCGGTCGATTTAGGAGCATCTCAGTTCGTCGTGGTGGTGATAAAGGTCGTCTTGAGGGAGATGTCTGACATTTCAGGGGAGAACGTTGTCTGTACATTGATGACAGGGGACGGCGAAGAGGAGAAAAGTGTCGTCTAGGAGGAGAACATGGACGTCTTGGTGGAGACAATAACGGACGTTTTGGAGAAAGTCTTTCAGGAGGAGTTATTCGATGTTTCATTGGGGATATGTTTCTCCTCATAGGTGAGACTGATTTCTTTATATTGCCCATCTCTGACCAACGGCTTCTGTTAAAAAATTCTTGAGCTTGTTGTTGGCGCACGTCAGCTTCATATTGCTCTGGCGTCATACGGAAAGATCTTTCTTCTCTGTGATTAATTACTGATGATACTGGCATAATTATATTTGGTTCTAACGGTGGTATATTGTGTTTTTTATATATTGGTTTTAAAGTAAGTTCTTCGTTAACTAAAAACTTCTTGTTTGGTGCTGTAATTAAAATATCCTGAGAACCCATTTCTTGAACATAACGACCTTTCAAAAGAGGATCGTCTTGTTTATTTTCCCTTTGATTTAAATTTACATTTTCTGGTGGTGCGATACGATCCCAAACGGACCGCGGAAGTTGACTTTGGAGTTTATTCGTTTGTTCTAAAACCATATTTAACATATTTTGTAATTGTTTAGCAGTATTTACATCAACGGTCGGTGCTGGTCCACTTAATTTTTCTTTTGCTATTTCTAAAAGTGCTTGATGCTCTTTTACAGTCTGAGCAACATCTGTATCAAACCTATTACTAGATAATCTTTCCCTTAAATCAGTTTGCTCTTTGGGTTCCCGCATTTTTTTTTCATATAAAGGATTGGGACGAAATTGCGAATTTTCTGTCATCCACTCCTTTTTCTTTTTCATAGGTAAATCTGCAATTATAACAAAAGTTTATTAAAAACAGAAAATCAGTAATTTGGCGAGTCTCACATCGACCGGACGACCGCAAAGACGTGTTATGATAACAGTATCACCGCGTGTGTCATACACAGTGTAAGTGTGTTTCAGTGAAAGTGGCACAAACGAGACACCGGTGTTAGTGCCTTCACGGCAACCGGCCCCGTATAAACATATACGGGATAAAACCAACCATAACGTTAACAATGGATCACCAGTAAACAAACGAGACTTTTGAGTCCAGAGGCATCTCATCCATAACCACACAACGGGAAAAAGCCCAACCCAAAATAATTCGGTACCAGACAAATCTTACGCTCACAATGTAAAATACGAGTCTAATCCCACCAAAAACCAAGTCATTATTTCCAAAGCAATAGACGGCATTAGTATTAAAGAAGAGTATTAAGTATTAAGTATTAGTATTAAAGAACAGGCTTGTGCAGTAGGAAAGATAATAGGCCCGAAATCAATAAAATTCATATCAAGAATATCAAACGGCAGAGTATGTCTCCATTTAGATAGAAAGAAACCAGTGACTTTCCTAACCGCCAACAATACAATTGAAATAAAACCTATGCTAGTACCGGCTCAACGAATAATTTTATCCAACGTCCCTCCTATTATACCCAACTCAACAATAGAAAACACATTCAAACAAAACAACGTTTGACTTTATTCAAGAATATCTTACCTAAAAGCCGGAATGACCGAACCAGAGTATTTACATATAAAGAATCAAATCAAAATATTACAAAAACCAATGTTAACCCAATCCCCAACGCCACCTCTCAACTACAATGGTCGATAAATAGGAACTATAGTCCGTCCAACGAGACGAGTCAGTAAATGTATACAAATTTTCAGGCGCGAAGCAGGATCGGCTTACGGTATATCGATCCCTGTATACTAAAATATGAAAAGCTACTTCTTTTGGAACAATAATAATAGGTGTAGTCATCTCCCAAAATCATGACAAATAATTTTTGCGCACCCTATATGCAGGAATTTGTTATGATCGCGGTGTGCGTATTTGAAAAACGCCAAATTCCCTCCTGGCTTTCCAAGCAAGGGCCAACGGCAAAAGACCCCCGAAAGTTGGCCCTGAACTCGACAATTGACAGCCAATAGTAAGAGCCGCTAACATCCATCACGTGAACATCACGCTGTTTTGTTTACATTTACTGACTCGTTTCGTTGGACGGACTTATAGGAACACATCAGAAACTGAAACATCTGAAATACCATAAGAACAACTGGTGGAACCAGCAACAGAACCATCGAAGACCCAAACCGTTTATAACTTTGTAATAAAGCGTTTCAGAGCAAACTTCAAATAACATTTTTTTCTTATTTTCACTTGTAGGATATGCTTCCCAAGTTTGTCCATTAAAACACGGGACACACTGTATATTCAAAACCAGACACAGCCCATACAGCCCAGGACCACGTAAGAGATACCATAAACTTCCTCAAGGAGATAAACGTATTCAACGAAATATAACGCCTAAGCACACATCCGTCGCCAATGACCTCGCAGTCGATGCGACGTAAAACATCCAAAAGAAGAAGAAGTAATTTGGCGTTTTAACTACATTTTAAATAGTTTTTAAAGCTTACCTTTAATTCCAGATTTGTTAAACTTTTTCATCAATTTCTTTGGAGGTACTTCTCCTTTATCAGGGGAATGTGAACGCTTTCCTTTGAAAACGTTTTTCACAGGATTCTCAGTATTCATTGTATAAAGCGTTTTCTTTAATGAAGCTTTTGATTTCTTCGAAGAATATTTCATCAGTGATTTATTAAAATTCTTTTTCATTTGTGTTTTAACACCTTTCTTATTTGCATTATTTGCGTTTTGTTCATTTGCCTGTTCATGATTGTTTTTACTATCTGATGCCTTGAAACTTTCCTCTAAACCTTTTTGGAACCATTGTTGATTAACTTTATTTATCATTCGTCGTTGTAACAAAATAACTGCTTCAAAATGAGGACCAACAGGTAAAGTATCAACTACGCGCGCCATAACAGGAATAAATGGTAGTCCATTAACATTATCCATTGGTCGAGCTAATTCTAGTATACCACGTACTGACTGTTTAGTCAATGTAGTTATCATCACTATTCGTTTAAGAGATGGAATTTTTCTGAGACATGTCATTACTTCAGTAGCTATAAAATATAAATACACATGTATACATATATTTTACTATTGATAAAACAATGTGTAACGATTATTTTAAGGTAAATTGGAAAATGAAATTTGGTAATTATTTACTTTAGCGACTTTTCACTGATTTCAATGACCTTGAAATATGTTGTCAAGGTCACTGTTCTGAATATTTTTTTCTCTATACACGTTACCGCCGTTCGGTCTTCGTTTTCGAGACATTCGCAAAAATAATAAATGATGTACTAAGTTAAGTTAGGTTATTTATTTAGGCTAATTCAGACAAAACTGTTTTTACAAATATTTCGAAAATGAAGGCCGAGCGGTGGTAACATGTATTGAGAAAAAATGTTCAAGAGAGTGACCTTGACAACATATTTCAAGGTCATCGAAATCGGCGAGGAATCGCTAAAGTAAATAATTCCCTATAATTTTTCTGAAAAAAAGCTTTGTAGTAATATCAATTTTTTAAAATTTGTTAATATTTTATAAAAACAGTACTTTTATCAACAAATGATTGAAAATAATTTATATACAATATATTTGATACAAACCTCGGCCAATATTAGTATTTGCATTAATTACTGCACATGCTTTACGATTTTTCACTGCAGCGATAATTTTATTTGTCACTTCCGTAGGAGTTCCCATAATAAACGAAGCATTTTTTATATTATTCAACTCGCACGTCATTTCAGCTTCTTCTACCTCAGAAGGAGAATCTATTCCTATAACTTGTTGACATTTCTATGTCAAGTTAAAATAATTTTAATGTATAACAATATTAAAATACATAAAAATAAAACGACTTTTAGTAAAAATGTAACTTGTATACTCACGGATGCCATCATTAATCCAATAAGACCAATGCCACAACCTATTTCAAGTACTGTTGTCTTTGGAGTAGGCACAAGTAATTCTATTACCGCATTTGTTACATTTTCCGCTCCTGCAGTATTTGACCAAAAGTTTGTTTTAGGTGCAAGTTGTATTTTTAACCCACCCACAACTTCATCTAAAGCTTCTGATCCCACTAAAAATGTTGTGTCCGTGACAACGGTATCGTTACATCTGAAATGAAAAAGAATAAAGTTTCTTAATAAAATTCAGGCGATTTAATGTCGGTTTCAAATTACGAAATTTATGAAACACACTTACTTGTTCATAGACTTGCAATAAAGGGACTTCACATTGCAATCTTTTCCAGCTCCAGATTCATAAACTTGCTTCAAACGATCCATGGTTGAACAACTAATATTTTTACCAGTCGCAAATAACATAAGCTCGTCCATACTGTTGCAACGTACTAATAACCCCAGCCACTCCTGTTTTCCTTCGTTGTTAATTTCTTTTCTCACTTCTGGTCTCAAAGATATATCATCAGCAAAGTCTTCATTTTTAGAATTTTGTGCATTTGATTGCTCTGTTGTTTGAAGAAACTCTTCAAATACCTATAGAAACGTAATATAAGTTGGTAGCTTCATTAGTAGATTTGAACGCATACTGCGAATATGTGCACGTAAATTAAAAAAAAAATAAATGTATTATGCTGTAGAGAAAAATTAAATATACCTTTACAGCACGCAAGACAAAAGGTGGAAATTCGACTTCATTGTTTGTATTAGTATTACATACAGTACTTGCTTCCAATTTCCAGACAGCTTCTGTATTTTTATTATCAGTAGCATCAGCATCAACATTATTTGTCTTGCTTGTAAGCTCTTGTGCCTTTTTTTTAACGCCTAGACATATGATTATTCAAAAAGTTTTGAGAATATTTTGAAAACATTTGACAAAACTAATTTTACCAGTCTTTACGAAAGTACTCACAGACGAATTTCCAACGATTTGCGTATGGTTTATCCAAGCGACAGGGTTGAGTTGGTTGTAACTTACAGAGAGCAGAACCATTTGCTTTTTCTTCCCCCTCTAACCATTTTTCATAACATGGATAAGAAATTCCCAAAACTCTAGCAACTTTTGATAATCGTTCTTTTACAATTGTTTCTTTTTCAGCAAGCTATAAATAGTTATAAAATTAAAATAATAAGTATTTAATAATTTTATTAATTATGTGGTAATAAATTTGATAGATTATGAAATGTACATGTTATAAGATACTGATATTCATATTTTGTATTACCTTCTTTTTATACCAGTCATTCGTTTTAGATTCTTTCATTGCTTCTTGTGTAAGATCTTTCTTATTGTCATCAAATATCTGCTGACTAACATAATTGTCTTTAATTATTTCAGTAACTATCTCTATGTCTGAACTAGATGCGTTTTTATCTATTAATTGATCACATTCCTCTTGTCCTTGAAAATCTGAAGTATCCAAATCTTCAATATCCTTTAAGTGAAGTAAAACATCTTCATCCGTTATATCTTTTTGTTCATCTAGTTGATCTAAATTAATATCAGCTGTAAAATCAATTGATTCCACATTTGATTGTTGTGGATATTTAGCTTCCGTATTTAATGTATCATTGTCAATATTACTCATATCATTTTCAGTGTTACTTTTATCGTCTTCAATAATACTTATATCATTTTCAGTGTTACTTTTATCGTTTTCAATGATACTTATATCATTTTTAATGTTACTTATATCATTTGTGTTGTCTTCAATGCTAATCGTATCATTTGTAACATTATTCTTAATGTTTGAATTATCTACTAATGAGTTATTCACAGAATCTATTGGTATCACATCTTTATTTTGTTCCATATTTTCATTCTGTGTATTATCATTAGGAAGTGCTACGACTGTATTTTGCTTTCTCACATTAACATTATTACCTGCACACTTATTTTGTGCAATATTAAGTGCCTCTTCTTCTTCGTGACATTCATCTACTACCTCATAGTTTTCTCCCTCGATCGTAACTTCTCCTGAATTTTCTATAACACATTTATGAGTCACATTAATACTGTAGATTAACTATTTTAAACAGAGCAGATTTTTATGACTAAAAATTGAAAAATGGTATGCTACAATATTGGATATTTGAAGATGTTCATATTAAACTACAGGAAACATTGAGATATAAAGTAAATACTTACCCATTTTGTTGTCAATCTTTAAATGAAAATTTCCACCTTTATGATTTTCAAGACAAATGACACTTGGATTAAAATGATACTGATGTTGTATGCAATACTGATAAGTAATTTATTACGCAATTGACGCATATATATAGATAGTTAATCAATGAATAGAATTAAATTGAAGCTTTTATCGGATACTCCACTGTTATTATACCCTCTTGGTTCATCATAATTATGTTACCTAAACCACAGTATTCATAAAAAATAATCTTTTACCACGTAAAAAACTATATATATGCATATATCGCGTTGTAACGTGAATTTATTTTCACGAAATTCCTTTATAATCTGTTGGTTGCAAGATTATACAAAATCTTTACTTTAGTTCACCGCTACGTTTTACGCTAAGCAAAATTTAATCGCGCGAGGGGCAATAACGAAAATGGCGTTCCAAAAATAATCGATTAATCCAAAACATAACATAACGTTACATTTTTCAATTTGTAAACTATAAAATAAGTTGGACTAATAAGCAGTTTTATTTTTTTTATATCAAACAGTTTTATTGTATCCTTATCGAATTAAATATTGTTAAGATGCATAAGAATTCTGTTGAAGAAGACCTTGCTTATACTTAAATACATTGTGTTCCAGATGGCGTCCCATCCGTAGTACAATTCTTCTTGATGAAGTTTTCATTCTAATCTACTGATTTAATATGGCTAAGTAGAAAACACGTAAGTAGAATTGATGGATTCCATTAGCTTGTGCGTCTAATTCCACTTCCAGATAGAAAATTGGAGATGCTTGTTATAAGTTAAGCTTGGTAATTACAACAATAAAACAATGGAAGTAACTTCTTCAAGTGAGTGAAAAAAAAAATTAAACATATAGCTTATACTTTTAGCCATTGTGATGATTCTGAACAGAATTACATGTTGTAAACATTCTGTTTTTTGTGTAAACATTGAATTATTTTACATTTAACATTACAGCTATTTGTCCTTAAGATTTATTATTTGCTTAATGCAATCACTTTGATAATGATTATCACATCATCTCAATGGAATCAAAGAGTGATTTACAAAGCTCTATTTAAGCAAAACCGTATGTCCCAAACTACTGTAGAATAAAACTTTTTACAGATTTTCAAGAAGTCCTGGCAGAATTGGATGACATTTTAAAAAATGCCTCTTTCCTTGGAATTGATGGAGAATTCACAGGACTTAATTCAGGACCTGATGCTGGTGCCTTTGATACACCTGCTCAATATTATGCAAAATTGAGAGCAGGATCAATGGACTTTCTTCTTATACAATTTGGCCTTTCTGTATTTACATTTAATAAGGAAACAAATAAGTATGTTTTTGTTTCTCATTTACATGTAGTTTGCATTAAAACTAAATATTTTTAATATGAAATTAATTCATGCTTTTCATATGAGCTATAGAAAAATTGAGTTCAAGCTAATTCATTATTACATCTTTTTTAAGGTACAATCAGCGCTCATACAACTTTTACGTTTTTCCGCGGCCGCTAAATCGCGCAGCGCCTGATTGCAGATTTATGTGTCAAACCTCATGTATGTCGTTTTTGGCTAGTCAAGGATTTGATTTTAACAAACTTTTCAAACTGGGTATTCCTTATCTAACTGTAATCGAAGAAGAAAAGTTAACAAGACGTTTAGAAGAAAAGCAAAAGATAAAGGATGAAACACCAGAATTAATACCTATTTCAGACGATGATAGACCTCAAATTGAGGATATTTGGTAAAATCATTAGCAGTACTTCTATTTTGATAAACTGGCTAAAATTAAATTGCGGTTCGTTTTAGTTCAAGGATAGAAGAGTTTATTACTTCTGAAACTGAAGAATTGTTAATAGAGAAGTGTAATGCTTACATTAGACGGTTAGTGCATCAAGAAGTAAAGATAAGGTGGCCGAATAAATTGAAAGTTGAAAGTAGAATGGATAATTTTGGGTGCAGTCTTGCGATACAAAGATTAGGAACCAAAGAAGAAGAGGAACAGAAGGACATTCTGAAAAAAGAAAAAGAAAAGTTAGAGATTAAGCAAGCTGTTGGATTAAGTATGCTTATGAGGAAAATCGCAGACTGTGTAAGTTTCGGTAATTAATTATGAAGAATAAATGATGTGTCATATAATGAAACATATCTTTGTTGCAGGGAAAGTTAATAGTTGGTCACAATATGCTGTTAGATCTCTGTCATATAGTCCATCAATTTTTCGGACAATTACCGGAAAGTTATTTGGAATTTAAGACGCTTCTTCATAGTTTGTTCCCTAAGTAAACATTCTTCGTTATTTTTTATTTTTTAGATACGTATGAAACAAACAATATAAGCACGATAATTTCATTGCAGGATCTTAGACACAAAAATAATTTGTCATTCGCCACAATTTAGGGAACACGTACCATTGTCGAATCTAAATGTATTACTAGAAACAATCAGTAAATCCCCATTTAAAATGCCAGAAGTAGAATCCGTCGATGGTAGAAGTTATTCGACATTAGCGGAAAAATGTCACGAGGCAGGTTATGATGCATATATTACTGGAATATGTTTTATAGCACTATCGGATTACTTAGGTCAGCAGCTGATATTTTTTTATAGAGTTTACACGTTTTTGTAAAACCTATTTGTTTATAAAATATTTATTATTTTAGGCACTTTACAAACACCTGAAGTTTCGGTAGTTCTATCGGATTCGCCTTTGCTTAACCCGTTCTTAAACAAGTGAGTGCAATTATTTTCTATATTGTATTAATTGATGTATATTTTGATAGTACAAAACTTTTTATTTTATTTACAGACTCATTATAGCAAGATTAAAAGATATTCCATATATAAATCTCATTGGAGACGATCGTAAGTTTTTTTATATCACTTCTTTATGCTTAAATCTTAGTATAAATTTAATGTATTCTCTTGATTTAATTTTAGCAAATCCTAGCAGAGATCATGTGTTCCATTTAACATTCCCAAAAGACTGGAAACTCAGTGACATATGCCAGCTATTTAGTCCATTTGGTGAGTGTTATGTCACGATTAACTTTTCATTTATTTTTACTTATTTAATATAAAAAGTGTTATTAATTGTGTTATAGGAGGTGTATACGTGTCGTGGTTATCCGACACGACAGCATACGTAGGATTAAATCGTCGCGAACAAGTTAATGCGGTAGTGAAAAATCTCTGTAAAACAAGTGCATATACGATACAAAGGTACGCCGAATACCAATCATCTTTAGACGTGAACATTAGTACAGGAGAACGAAAAAGAAAATTATCTTCATTTGAGTAAGTAGATACTAATATTTACATATATTTTATAATCTTATATTCTCTTCAAGATTTCATTATTCCTATCTGCAATTGGAATTTGACGTTCTAATTTCAATAAATCATTTTCTCATTCCACAAGTATTAATAAGTATTATAAACAGAATTCTTGTTCGATTAATTTATCGCTTCTTGTTTATATATTTTACTCAATCGTCATAATTCTCTTTGATCAATTTCGACGCTGCTGAAAAGCGCTCGCAACGAAATTGTCTCTGATATAGTAAAGTAACAAAAACAGGGAATCTAGTGGTCCATTTTGGCCACATTTATTTTCAGTTTCGAATATGGTGCAAAGGTCGATGCTACGCATTGGCGTAACTAGGATCTTAAAAGATTTTACTAGGATAAAAATTGGGCATTCTCCAATTTTACATTGTTACTAACAGGGATGACCTTTAGTAAGTTCGGCAATTTCTGTGATTTATGACTCAAGCTATTAATCAATTATTTTTCGTAGGATTACAAATAAATCTTTTAGAATTTTTAATTTTAAATAATCCAACTGGGAACAGTAGTCGTCACCGCAGAGCGCTTTCAACAAAAGGTCCTTTAGGGGAGTGGTCATTATGTTAAATGATTATTAACATTTTTATCGATTCCATGATTGGTTACGTAACAGCTTCGAAATTTCGTATGATTTTGATATTTTCATTTGATTTTAATTCCAAACGTTGAATTTTATGCCAGGAGCAAAATTCTAAGTTCAGTTCTTCCTTTATTTGGTTTCCAGATTTCATCGAATTGGATGCTGTGTTAACAATTTGGCGTACTGCACGCGGACTTAGTTTTGAAGGGCGACCATTGTGTTTTTGGTGCCGTATTTATGTGGATTATTTATTAATTACACATAATCATTTTTCCAGATCTCTTCCTATTTATCCATTACAACAATCAATTCCTTTCATACATTTTGTTTTTCCTTTCTCCACTTATGTCAATCTCTTTTTTTTTGTATGCATACTGGATATAGATTATTACAATATCGATTTAATTACTCATCGTCAAAATGGTGAAAATTAACCATTAAATGTGACCACGATTTCAATTAATCATGGTAGCGATTCGTTCTTCACTTTACTGTTTTGCTGACTTAACAACTGTAACTCGCATCTTCAAGCGATTTTACAAGAATAGAAGACCATCGTTATTCCTTTCTTTTTTATTATTATTTTTTATTAATATATGTACAAAGATTCAGTTTAGATGTTTAATAACTTTTTCGGTTACCTGTAGAATATTCGATTATGCGCGCAAGTTGATAAAGTATTTGTTAACAACGAAAAAAAAAACGTGATCAAATGAAGATTTTCTAATCGATGATCATGATGCATCCACTATGCAACCGTTTTATTTTTTTTTCTTTCTTTTTTTTTTTTTTTGTTATTTGATGTGAAATAAATTTTGTCAAATAATATACAAATTGACTTTATATATTAGTATGTAATTGTACAAAACAAGAATGAATAGTTTGAGTCATAAATCATGAACATAAATCATTAATTCTATGTAGTAGTGTTCAATAAAACTTCAGCGACGTACAGTGTGATACTTAGGTAATCGATGGGGGCAAAACTGCATTTTTTTTAGTGTTCCAGAAGTGTACAAATATATTATACATTGATAATAAAATGTATAAGGCGTCGGAAACTGTAAGTATTGTTTTAAAAATTAACCCATAATGATTAATTAGTGGTGTTCGAAGGTCGAGCTAACTACATTCAAGGCTAAATAAGAAGTCTACATACAATTAGCCCCATAAGTATTAATATTTAAGCGAAGAATATCTGTCTAAAATATAAGTTTCAAGATCCTTATCAATAAGAATGCATATGGTATTAACTAAACTTCTGATTTATTTAATCTTTATTACAAAATTACAATTTACTATAAATTAAAAGCAAAATTAAAATTTTCTAAAAAGCTATGTCTGCAGTGCTCCCTGGTTGTTTGGAATCATAAAAATTATTTGGAACCTAAAGTGTTTAGGAGAACAATGGTAACAGGCAAATGCAAACTCATGTATACTTACCTACTCCGTACCACTCAGTTGTCTCATTATCATTAAACTCGATATAAGACAAATGTTATATTAATTACAAGGATCATTGATTTCATAAAATACATATACGTGACCATAGTGATAAAAAGAAGTTTAGAAATCACAAAGTACAATTAATGTTAATATTTTGATAACATAAATGAAGCAGCAAAATCGGAGATGGTACGATGTCAGAAATATTAATGGGAGTAACTGTATTTTACAGGACTGCTGTGATTGCCGTGGCAATGAGACTGCCGTTCCGAGAAAATGTGCTTAAACTTCTTCGAACGATGAGAAGACTCATTACTACTCGCCTTTGACGATGTTACTCGGAATATACTGAATGGGTTACCTAATATTACGAATTTTGTAAATATTGTTTATAGAGAAAAATGAATTAACATAAAGTGTATTATTTTAAGGAGGATATACAGTGGATCAAACGAGACTTTTTTACTTATAGACTGGCTTCAAATCTTTGAAGCTGAATATTGGTTTCTCAAATGAGAACATGCGTTTTTTTATAACAAAATTTTATTATATTTTTTATCTGAGTATAATCATCTCGGTTTTTAAATTTCATTTTACTGACCCATCTTATGTCTTCCTTAAAACCATACAACTTTAACTTATAATTTTCTACACGTAATAATATTGAAATGAAGGTGATAATATTAGGTGACCCAATTTGTATAATGTACCTTACATTTCGGAAACATCCCCGCAAAATCCAGATCTTAATCCAATTGAGCATTTATGGGCAGAAATTAGGAAGACTATGCCCATGCTTACAACATTTTATTGAATGTTAACTTTATTTTTACAGTAACGATACTTAAGTGTTACTACTGGAATAAATAATTTTAGAACTAACAATGTGATTTTACTTTGTTAAAATAATAAATATTTGAATGCATTCGAATAATTACTTATTTCATTTATACCTTGAGATATAAGGCATTCTTAAATTGCAATGGAATTGTTAATATGTATTGAATGGTATGTAATTGTGTTAATTTTTTCTGCGATGTAGCCACTGTAAATGTGCAGGGTGCATATCGGTCATCTGAACAGAGGGTCGGAATTATCGAAGTGAACCGACAGTATTTTTGCAAATGGAAAAAGGAATTTATATAACTAATATATCATATTTTACATTTTTTTTTTATAGGAGTGTGCCGGCAAAAAGGGAGAAAAGTTCTCTACCAATGAACGGGGTGAAGACAGAACAGGCCGATGATGGTTGGAAAGTAGCTACTGGTAATAATCGCAAATTATCGTTATTTTTTATTCCTACCCTTACAATATGGCGAACAATGGTTTTCTTCATCTTTTAGAACTTTCAAATTTTTCTTTCCCTTTCCTTACTTTTTTTTTATTTTTTCATTTTAATATCAAAATTAGTCAGTTTCTATTATTTCATTTTCTACCCAAGTCTCACATTTTTATTTTTCCTGCACAGGAAAACGACGCCGAAAGCGGAAAGGCTATACAGACATGGACGCCGCTCATGAATCAGACATGAAAAAAGCGTTTGCCGAAGCTCGTTCATGGGAATAATTGTAAATAAACAACTGAAATATCCAATTGGCATGTCTTCTTTGACGACTCCCGAAAGAAAAGAACCCAGTGATGTTAGATCTGGTGAACGGAGAAAAGTCCTATCTATCGTGATCCAAACATCTCATTTAAAGATTAATGAACCAGTTGACTAGGGTAAGAGGGAACACTATTGTTACGTCGAATCGATGGTTGTCGAAAATTGTTAACTGGATGGGATGATACTCCAATCAAAAAGAAACTTTTGATATGTTATCAAAGAATGTGTGTCACAACACAACGGAGCTATATGGATTTTAGTATTGGAAAAAGGTGAAAAAAGTATGACATGTAATTTAAGATAATAATATTTATTCAATAAATATGAATGATAAAAGATACAAGTTGTTTTGGAAACTTTTAATATAGTGTTTGTAAAATTTTGCATAAATTGTAGAGGCAAACATGGAAAAATGAAGTATTAAATAATAATCGATTAAAAATTTAATTTTCTACTACAACGTTTGCAGAATTTTATAAATAATAATAGCTAACTTACAAAATATTAAAAGTAATTTTGTAAATAATTATACATTACTAGCGCCCCGTCACGGCTTCGCCCGCGTATCATATGCGTAGAATTTGGATTTATTGAAAAGTGATATTATAGAACTTCAGAATATATAACATTATTTGTTGTTTTCTTTTTCATTTGGTAGTAAAAGAAATTGGTTTTTGGAATTACTCGTTCTCGAAAGTCCGACATATAATTGTCCGCGTGAAAAAAAATCTGAGCGTAAGTCAAGTCCTATATATTTAAATGTCTGTCCTTGCGCTTTATTTACTGTTATGGCAAAAGAAACTTTAATAGGGATTTGCAAACGGTAAGTCGCTGGGGATCATAGGTATGCAAGGTACATAAAGGGCGATCTCGCTTGGGTAGGTCCTGTTAAGATAGTAGCTTCAATGATATTTTTGAAATTTTGTTGTACATACAAACAAACGCTGTCTATAAAGACGAAAATAAACGATTCACCAGTCGAAACGGACTCGTATATATCATGCAAACTTTGTGAGTTATCTTTTGGGCAGACTACCTAGCAGTTGGGAGCGGTAGTTAGGGAATAGCGGGCATAGGCTCAGAGCGCTGAGCGCTCAACATATTTTTACGTATTTTTACGCGGATGTAATATAATTTTTATTAAAATAATATAGCTTATGTCATTCCAAAGAAGGCAAGAAAGATACTGTTAAAATTTGGTATCAATCGGTTAAGTAGTTTTTGAAATTTTTCTGTACATACAAACAAACGCTGTCTCTTTATATAATAATAATAATATAATATGATATGATTGTACATTTACGCTATTTTATATATTTTGTACCACTTCGAGTGTAAATGTGTACTAGTAATTACTTTTTTATAACAGAAATTCGTGAAGGTCCAATATTTACAAAGAAATCTTTATTTCGAATTCGGTCGTTCGGTATGATACAACCTAATCTCCTTCGTCTTGCTGTGAGTAAACAAATCTGTTCGGCTTTCTGGCATTCGGACGAACTTCACGTCGTTCCTTAAACTCAGTTCGGACTTATTATCAGTAGGTCGTCGTCCTGCGTGAGAATCAGATCGTCGCGATTTTAAATTTTACCTTCAGGAATATTTAGATTTATTTATTTATCGTTCCGTGGCATCGCGTGTGTTTAAATTAAATAATTGGACTATTAAACAATGAATTATAGATTATGTGCACGGTAGGAATTTAAGTCACTTCTTCGCTTTAAATGCTACTTATAATACTTATGACCAGAAGTGTACGTTTATTGTACCATATAATAGATTGTTTCATAGACAAATAATGTTTAATTCGAAATTGTTTTCGTGGTTGCAGAATTTAGATGAAAATTTACGGTTAAACAAGATGCGTAGAATTCTGTTACGTTTTGAAAACCCAGAAGCTCAAGGTAGCGAAAATATCGAGACGACACCGTTGCGTGGAAATACTGTTAGGTTCCCGCGTTTGCGTCTCCTGGACCAAAATTTCGAACCGGTAAGTACCTAGTGTCTAATTGTTTCTACATTTACCTGTTCGTGTTATTTATATTAATGGTCAATCGTACGGAGAAACTGAAAAATTACAGATGAGTATAGATCCCTGTCTCTCCTTGGCGCTTTTGTTTTGAAGAGACAAGGACAGCACGATAGTCAAGCAGCCATATTGGCATACAAACGATTCAAATAGTTTTCTAATGAAATATTCTTTGTAATATTATACAGCGATGCGAGAAATACGAACGACGTACGTGTTTTACGTTTAGAGAAAAATAATATTTATTTTTCCTTCATCTATGTTTCCAAATTATCTTAACCTAATTTCCGCTAGCATCGACGTTCAAAAGGTAGTCTAAATCAAAGTTTATATCGAAACACACCATTGCCAAGTCTGATTCGATTCCAAGCTTGATTTACAAAGTTGCTAACGATGATAAGCGTTGGACATTTTTGGGATTTCGGAGGGCATTCCTTTTTTGAAAGCAAGGCACATGCCGCATAGAAACCCCAACCCTGTCGCAACGAACTCAACCACTGATTTGGAGATTTTCATTCCTGAAATAAAATCGTATCTTTAGCTTTTCTTACATGCATACCTTTGAAGTAAATTAAAGTTAGCTTACTTTATTTTCGTTCAAGATGAAAGCTTTGTATTAAGAGCAAGTTTTCTATCTGAAATCCATCGGACTCCGTCGCATTGTTATGCTGTTGAAGCATATGGAATTATATAATCGAAAATTTTTACGAATTTCATATTTCTTTCATTTTTGTTTAAACAAGTTTTTGAAATACTTTAAAATGTAGGAACAGAAAGCAGCCTAGAAGAGCGTGCGGCTTTATATTAGCTGCAATATACTGCCTTTCAGTGTTATGATTTCTTCGAGTTCTATAAGCCACAAGATTTACAATGCTCAACAGCACAACACAATGATACGATTTTGTTCCCCCCGCGTAATACTTCTTATCTAGATGAGCGTTTCTTTTCGATCGGGATTGAAAACAAACGCGACTTGCGACCAGTATCGCTCTGTCACTACGGCTCTTTCAACTAATCAGTCGTTCACAAAAACACAGCTTGATTGTTACTGATACGAAGATTGATCAAATGCAAACCGGAATTTTGTCGAACCTCAATTTACTTTTAAAACAGACAAAAATCGTTTCTTTATGTAATATTCTATAACGTCTAAGCACTCTTTCCAATAGATTGATCATCTTTTTAATTCTGATTTATACGAATTCTTCTTGGTTGAAATCCATTGCACAGAGATTTTTCGAAACTTCAACTTTATCGCAGTTTATTCTTATTTTTTCACTAAATTCATTCGCTAGCATCAGCCACTCACTTTTGATAAGATTACGAATATCACGAATTCCAATTTATATTTGATTCATTTATGCGATTTTAAGATTGATGGATTCCGGCGAACACGAGTTTGCGATCCATCGTCGGAATCGCGTGTTTATTGCTGCGTGTGCTGAAGGTAACTTGGGACTTAGCAGGCCAGTAGGATTCATATACAGCCACCACAGGACCACTAAGGCCCAAATCACCCTCAGCCTTAACCGGTGCCTATGTACAGGGCAGCATCCATAACTGGACTGGTAGATCTTCGGCTCCCCGTTTCATCCTATTTGTATTGTTACTCTCCTTGTTGTTGGCATCGTTTTTCTGGAATGAAAAGCATTAAGCAGTTTAGTGGTGAATAATTTCTGCCATTGTAAAACGCGTAAGTACACGGTATGCCTGGACATTTTTCACCCGGAATAATCATAGAATTCCCTGTTGTTTTATCGATCTTATTATCTACCGATTTCGCGTCGATCGCGGTACAGTTTCGCCGGAGGTACGAACAGAGACCTAGATCTGGACGGATGTAAATTAACATCGATACTTTGAGGGCACGTTGTATGCTCGAAATACCAGGTAATTATAATGTCACCAGTTGACTGCTGCCATACTTATTTATTACATTGCGCTACAGAAGTAATAACTGATTGACTAACAGTCTGCTTATCTTGTAACATGCCAAAGTATTATTCATAGAGCTGTCTCTGACCGAACGATTTACGTATTCGATAACTTGTCTGAAACGAGTTTTCAATTTTTTTTAATATTTACGACGGAGATGAAATTTGCATTTTGAAAGAGTGACGTGTACGTCATGTGTTTCATTAAATGCAGGCCGATTTTTCATAAAATATACACTTGAATCGAAATATAAATTCTAATGTCACCCCTTGAACAATTAATTACTTTGATTATTTTTCTTTTACACCG